TTTCTTCCAGGAAGCAGGAGCTCCCCGCGGCCGCGCTCCGCTGCAGCCGCGGCCCTGCCACACTGCACTGCGCTTTTACACGGGGACGTGCAACGAGGGCTGGTCCCTCTGACAGCAGGGACACCTGCAAACCTGAACACGGCAAGCAAGGCTTTGTTTTTTGTTTGTTTTTTTCCCCCCTTTTTTGATTTTTTTTTGCCTGTAATGTCACCATAAGCCATCAGAGGCCAACACTTTGAGGAGCATTTTTGAAGGACGTGCATGAGGGTGTCAAGCTTAACAACACACTTAAGAGTCCGTTTTAAAGACTGATACGGAAAGAGTTACAAGTCGGTGAATTCACTGCAGTGTTGCAAGAAAAAGAATAGAGACATATATATGTATGTATACATATATATATATATGCTAGGACAAAGAAAGATGTGTGGGCAACAGACAATGTTTTAAAGAGCATCTTAAAGTATACTGCTCAGTCAGATACTATATATCATCTTTCCATCAAGAGAAACTGTTCATTTCTACTTTCTTCATGGAAATACTGCCTTTTGGGCTCTGGTTAACGCTAAAGAGGGATCCATAATCTCATCTGGGAAAGGGATTCTGTAATATTTATGCATATATACCTGTAAGACAGAAATTAAGTCTGTAGATAATCTGTGGGTATATTTAAGGCATCCTCTGTTCTCCTACACCTCTGCTTATACCATATTTAGGATAACCAACTAGTGAAAGCCTAAATGTAAGAAAAAACTGCAGGCAGACACTATTTTGAAAAGATGCAGTCACATTAGACCACTAGTTCCACTCCTTATAAATATTTGATTACTCACATACAAAAAGAGCATATTCTCAGTCCAATCCAGAATTACTGCCATGGTTTCTATGGAGCTCTCAGCATTTACCTCTGGGCAAGTGACAAGAGATTTGCCTGCTACCACAATTGCTTGTGTTTTTTTTTTTTTTTTTTTGCTAAAAACATACAAAGTCATGCAACTTCCCCTAATAAGGTTGTAGTTTGTATGCAGAACAGACTTACTCTGTGATTGCAGGATCTCAAAGGAACAACGGCAGTTCCTTCCTGTGTAACCTTTAGCATATTCTGTAGCAAGGACTTCATTTACTACTTACATTTTCCATTATGCAGGAAAAAAATGCCCTCATTTATTTGTTACTTCACTAACAAGATTTTGTCTTCTTTAAAAAGTGCATTTTAAATATCACTAGCCAGCAGTGTAGGCATCTAGAACTTCACTGTAACGGGGGTTGGAGAGGCAGCAGCAGCATTTTTTCCCCTTCACTTCTGAAAATAACCTCAATACTCAGAAATTCAGAGGAGAAATTACATACCTAGGAAATCTTAAGACACTATGACAGAAAAAAAAAAAAGCAGAGAACACTTCAGCAAAGATTAATTAACAGCCAGCCCTTTGCAGCATGGGGAAAACAAGCCTACTTGACCAATTGGCATTTTATTTTTTTTTATGAAGTATAGCAGCTCTGTGAACAATAATGTCACAGGGGGCATTAGGAGCAGACACTTTGTTCTCAGAAAAGAAAAAAGTTCCACACCAGAGGCTAAAGTCTGCAGCATGAAAAAAACCTGTGAACTGAGGGAAAACTGCAGGAAACTACAGCTAATATTTTTAAATGCAAAAGAATACCATTAACAGCTCCTTGCAGACATTTTTAAGGGGAACCCAGTTTTATAAATAATGGTAGATTTAGATGAGGGTTAGATGGGTGTATTGAAAGACAATTTTAAATTCACCACCATATTGGCTGTCAAATGACAAAAGAAAGACATCAGGAAGAGGATTTAGTTCATTTATCTTCTCCCAATATCTAATCACAATCAAGAAACTAGAAGGGCATAAACATCTATGGCAAAACACAAACTTCGGGACTTTTAGCCATGGCTACACACACTCATATGAGAAACAGAGATGCAAAGATATTTCCCAAATAAATCGTAATGTTGGGTCAAATTAGTAAAGGATTTTATTTTAACATGTCTGAATTACTCTAGTGGTTGAAAGTAATGGTTAGGGTGGCTGAGATGAAAGTTCATAAAACAGACCCCACAGCACTATGGGCAGAATATGGTTATCCAGGAACGTATCATAAAAGTAGCAGTGAGCACATAGATTGGTATAGAAATTAATCATAAATGCAATAAAAGCACTCATGAGGCTTTCTCTAAACACAGAAGACAAAATTACCCTATGTCGTCCAATCCTTCAAAGCAGTGAAGAAGACAGAAGTCTGACTCATTTTGCCCAGCTTTTGGTGCTAAAGAAGAAACTTCTGTCAGAAGCCCATTTTTTTTTTTCCAGGCTCCTTTGAGTGAATTCAGTAAGGCAGGTATATCCAAGAGGCAAATCAAATCACAGGAGAAAAAGATCCTTTTATTCCCCTCTGATGGCTTAAGTGGGAGTTGAGGGTGACATTTTTTCTAGCTGGTGGACCTCTGTTATTTTAGATAAGACAAATCTGCACCTACGTACATCAGGATAGTGACTATAACACCTATCTTCTATTAAAAGAACTCCTGGAATTTTCTTGCCATTCTTCCCACATGTTCCTCCTATTCCTTCTTCCTCCTCAGCTTCCATGTCCTACAAGCCTCTCTGCCACACAGATAAGGAGCTGACTCATTAGGTAAGTAAATGAAATAGAAGAAAATAATACATTATTTTACAGTTTATGCTGAAGTACTACAGAAAAGTGGACGTACGAGTATCTGAATTGAGTAGTATCTTTGTGCAGCTTCTCAGACAAATGGATTGCACGTTTTATATAATTCAAATCCTCTGATTTAGAGCCACTTCATCCTTAATATGAATTTGAGTGAAACTAGTAAGTATTTCCATCTTTTTCCTGTCATTTCCAAAGGAATCAGAGGTTCTGTAACCCATTTGTCATTGTTCCTTCATCTGCCTCCCCTCTACTTTGAAATTGCCAGTTAATTTAAACTCAAACATAATTAAGTTTTCTGAAAACCACAGCTGCGTTGTGTGGACAGATATCAAAGTGATTGGTGGAAAAAGCTCAAAAGAAGCAACGATACCAAAACCACAGGAGCAAACAAGCAAGTCCAGCTCCTCTAAGTGCTGTTCAACAGGAGCCAGCTGATCGATAACCACAGGGGCAGTTTCACTCTGGATGCAGGAGCATGGGAAGGGAGCTGGGAGATGAAGGTGGGTAAGGTTTAAGGACTGTAAATCTCTAAATCTTTGGAAAACAGGCTCTGCTAGTCATACAAAAATAGCTGTTTATACAAATACATACATATATATACTGATTCTACAAATTCTGAATTATTCTGTTAGACCTTTGCCTCCTCGGGTGCCCATCTGTGATAAAACAAGCAGAGAGGAGATAAAGACACTGACAAGGAGGTTTCCTGACCGGCCGGCAAGCAACAAGTGACCCTCTTCACGTGTCACCGCCTGCCCTGCTGCTGCCTGGTCTGCTCCAGGAAAGCAGAGCAGGAGGGACTGGAAAGGGTGGAAAGCTGGAGAGGGAAGGATGGGAAAGAGCTGGGAAATTAGGGTTCACGGCTAAAGGGGGCCTGGAAAGCGCTGCAGGATAACAGACCCATCACAGACCTATCACGTGAGCACATGTGATGCTTTTTCCAGCTCATTTATCAAAACAGTGTTTAAAACCAAAACCACACAATCCCCAAACATCAGATCCCCAAACTTCAACTTCCCAAATCCTTCTATCTGTAAAGGAGATCAATTGCTTTTGGGGGTCTCGGCATGATGCCTGAGCTCCTGGCATGGATAATGGGTGCATTTAATACTCATTTTATGAAATCTGAGGCAACACCAAAGTTTTCCAGACTCACAGACAACAATAACCTCTCTTCCTGTGCCAAGGCAGAGGTCAGACCCACCTACTTAAGTACCCAGTTGATAACAGCAGGAGAACCAGGTTATTACTTCAGTAAGGACAGGAGTAGCATCGGAGATACTGGAGCATTAGGGAATTTCAGTTCTACTATTACACAGAACCGAAAAAAGACCTTTTATGTTACTTGAACCTATTTTGCCAAGAGACAGCAAGCTCACTGCAATGAACTAAGTATCCTACCACAGTGCAAAACGTGATGATTTCCATTTGCTGTAATATTTAGAGATCTGTTTCAAGGGCATGAGATATGTATTAAACTACCTGTAAAACATGGAAACATGGAAACTACCTGTAAAACATGGAAAATATACAAAATAGTTAACTACTGAAAATAATTGTATTACAAGACTACTAATACATACCACTGGCTGTTTGGTTATGTCCACCAAGTCTTTAATGTTGTAATACTGATGTTTCTCAAAGGCCGAAAAGAGCATGTCCAACACTTGCTGTTTATCAGCTCGAGCCCGTTTTCCATCTTCTTTCTTTTTCTTCTCATATTCAATCTATCAATTAGATACAAAACACGTTTTACAGACATTCATATGTAACACTGGATAATTCTCAGTGCTGAACATTGAGACACAAAAAAGCTATTTAATAAAACACTACTCAATGACTCAGTGCTTTGCATCTGAAAAATTTTCTCTTGGGCACTCGCATTCTCTTTATGAACATAAACTAAGCATTTTGTGCTCAGCACAATGACGTTTTCAGATAAGTTAAGATCTCTGTTTTAACAAGTTTAAAAAAACAAAAAAAGCAAAACAAAGAACACAGAAACAGAGCCTGCAAAATGTGTCTAAATCTGAAGATAAGACTAACAGCAGTACAGGAATCTGAACTGAGCTGGTGTTTTCATTCCACCTCTCTTGATATCAACTTTGGAAGTACTATCACAAATGCTAAACTAAGCATTTTACAAATTTCCATATTCAGGAAAAGCCACAGCCTGGCCCAGCGCTATCCACAGTCTCCACCGTCACTACCCGAAGCACTCACGGATACTGGTGTTGTACAACCCAGCCTGCAGACTCCACCTCATCTGTTCCCTGAGGCAACCACCATCCATACAAACACAACCCCTACCATGTCCAGCAAACGGGTGTCATCTCTTCAGGAGAAACCTGAGCAGCACAAACTTACTACAGTCCAAGAAGAAAACTCCAAGAAAGAAAGAGAGAAAGAAAGAGAGTAAGAGAGAGCGAGAGAGAAGGAAGGAGGGAAGGGGAAGGGGAAGGGGAAGGGGAGGAAAGGAGAAAACTCCAAGCACCTCATTGGCAGATTCCACCCTCTTCTAAAATATATATGAAAAACTATTAAACTACATTTTTGTAAAGCTTTTATCTCCATGAGCCTCCAACAATATTTCTTGCATTTTACCATGCATATCATTAGAGGCAAGGTTTTCACACACAGAAAACAAACCAAACAAACTTCAAGCATGGTAGAGGAACAAATGCAAAATTGCCAATACGTGTCCTTCAATAAATCCCTCAGTAACAGAACTATCAAAACTCCTTGGAACTGACCCCTGTGTCCCAGAATTTAATATATTTAATGTAATCACCAAACGTTTTCAGGGAAACTACATGGGTGGATCCAAAGTAGCTCAGCACAACAGCCACATAGTCAGTAATGGCCTGGTTGTTGGTGGGGTAATATTTTTGTGAAAAAATCATTCTGCCTCTGATGTGTCAAACCTTATCTTCAAGGAAAACCTTCAGAGAAGAAGCCTAGCAAGGAAAACTCATGTTTCTACAGGATGCTAAAAATCTTATTTCTCACAGAGACATTAGTTTTATGGCACAATTTGATTTTTCCCATAGCTCATCTGCAGTTAATGCCCTCCTATGCTCCGAGGGCTGCTAACAGCCTGTCTCCTGGTATTGCTCCAAAGAGGCTAGAAACTATCACCCTTGCTCGTAAGTCCTTGGCCAGCAAACCCCCTCTTCCAAATTCTGGAGGGAAAACAACCGTTCCCAACCTACAGCCTAGTTTGTTGCTTCTGCTCACAACATGAGGATGATCGGCTTGTGATTCCAAACACTCTTCTCCCTTTCCAGCTTTACGACAGTGTACCTAACAAAAGACACGACCTCTCTGCACAAATCCACACAACTGATCTTCACCCAGCAACATATTTTTGTGTTTGATTGTATCGTAATGATTCTTTACACCTGTAGTTTCTGCATGTCCAAACAGACGTGTGAAACAGAAACAGCTTTGCAACAAAAACAAACTGCAGCATCAAGTAACAGAGCTTTACGTAGCACCATCTTGGGTGCCATGATCCAGAGCAGAACAACCACTCTGCAGAAACTAGAGTAGAAGCACAAACCTAGGACACTGGCGTTGCTATAAGTAATAGGATATTGAAATGTTTCCTCTCTTCTCCAAGTTCAACTGACGATTCATCAGGACTCTCTGCTGACCTTGAAAACATTTTAGTTGGGAGTTTTAGAAGCCCTGATGTGGGTTCCATTTCTTTTTCTCTACGAGAACTGTCTCACTATTTACCCTTAAAGAAGTACAGTGCAGGTAGACTGTATTGATACATACTGCCTATACATGCAGTATAACTACAACGATGCTCTAAAAAAAATCTGAACAAGGCTATTCTGCCAGAGCCACAAATCCCAAACACGATGAGAATCCACTATTACAGTAGAAAATCCCTGTGCAGATGAAGAGCACAGCACATTTTCCTGACTCTACGCTGAGTTATTTACCAGGCAGCATGGCCGGAGGTGTATTCAGGGCTACCCGCCTTGCAATTTCACCAGTAAAGCACTTGGATAGATCCCTACTGGGTACATTTCCACAGTCATAGAGGTACCGAAGAAGAAAGAAAATTCCCAAATCATCCAAAAGTCTCCTACTGGCTACGTTTGAATAGAGATGAAAGATTTGAGGCTGCAAAATGCATCACTACCGACCTCCTGGTACAGTAACAAGGATTTCTGTATGAAGCAGCCAAAGAAATGATCCAATGACTAGGAAGGAGGAGGAGATTGGCCTGTGATTGCATGAAACATAGGATGAAATGTGAAGCTAAGTGCCAGCTTTTTCTGCTACCTGCAACATAAATGGTACAGCCAATCTCCGGTTGATTGCCAAAAGTTCTTTGCATCTCATTTTCAACTGATCTGACACCAGCCAAAGTTTGCAGTGTTAAAAACATATTTATCTTACACCTGGTTCAAGTGAAAAATTCTTAAGAAGGTCTATGATGAACACTTATTTTTTTTCCTTCGAGAAAAAGCATTTCTCAAGAGCAGTCATCTGCTAATTATCCATTTACCACTGTCATGCTCTAACTCAATACAAAAGTGTAGGGACTTGCTACAAGGACATGGGTGCATCCTGAGCACAACAAAGTATGCAAGCAACTAGAAAGTATTTTAAAATTAAATGATAATAATAAAAATAAAATAAAATAGAATAGAATAGAATAGAATAGAATAGAATAGAATAGAATAGAATAGAATAGAATAGAATAGAATAGAATAGAATAGAATAGAATAGAATAGAATAGAATAGAATAGAATAGAATAGAATAGAATAGAATAAAATAAAATAACATGATTTTGTCACATCTGTATCAGCCTACAGTCTAAAGTTTTTATTACATGCTATCTTTGGAAAGCACTGATTATATTCTGGAAGTTTTTATTTCTTTTGATACTTCACAACCTAAAAGAGGAATTGCTGTCCTGTAGGATTAATCAAAATAAAACCTGCTGCAGAAATGGATCCACAGAATTTTCTGGCGAAGCGATGAGTCTCTGTCCCAGCTAACAGCACCAAAAGCACCGTCCTGACTTCCCTGTAGCTACCTATTCCATTCAAGACCATGGCTGTGGGACACTGGAGCTCGGGGACATCAGCTTCATAATGGCATTTTTAAACCTATGGACACGCTACTATTTTACAAGAGGAGGAGATGGATTATCTGGCTCTAAGTTGTTGCCGAAAGGCACCTGATGCTTCCGGAAGATAGCGGGGAAGACGATGCCATCTCTGCTTGCAATGTTTGCTGAGCTCTGGCTTCTTGTCAATATTTGAGGTTACTCTTCACTGTTAAGATCTCTATTTTTCTTCTACTACTACTTTTTTTTTTTTTTTTCCCTCTGTCTCTGAGGCTGGTATCTTTTCTCTGACTCAAAAATCAAAGTGTGAAAGCTGAAGACAGGCTGCATGACTCTGCCAGGAGGACAGCTAGTATGTCTGTTCTTACCAGCCTTTCTGCAATTCTCTACCTCTCCAAACAACAAAACCAAAATGAACAAGAAGAAGAAAAACAGAAACAGAAACCAACTACAACCTCCTTGGGTGGAAGGTTAAGCCTGAAATGAAGGAAGAAACCAATCTCATCCTTTTTTGCTTTTTGTTTTCTTTTTAAGTAACAAGAACAAGAGGTAAGTGCCAAGGTTATTTATTCTGTATTTGGCACAGCTATCAGAGTAAAGGGTAAGTATAATAGCATAACGGGTGTAAGTTAAAGTGATCATCACAACAATCTCTGAGAACAATTAAAAAGATCCAAGGCATTTGTACCTCTCCAAATAAGATATAGCAACAAATCTGCTTGGCTAGAACTTACTTCTGCATCGAAAAAACAAGCACTTGTATTTCACGTTGATGCTTCCTACACAAAGGAACAAAGCAATGACACCGAAATCCCCCAAATTATCCTCACTGAGGCCAAGTCTCTGACAGGACTGGTTCATGGGTGTCAAAGCCCAATGACCTAAACAATACTCCACTAGAAGAAAAATAAAGTCATTTTAACTGAAACACTGCCTTTATTTGCTAGTAAACCCTAGTGCTCAGCATTCTTCTTTCTCTGTTATTTTAGCAGCTCAGTGAACTCTTCCCAGTAGGACTTTCTATTTTGCATTCTTTGAATTATCTAAAATAACTTGAAGAGGAGTGTTTGCATTCCCTGTATGCCTGCGATGTGAATATTCTAAAATTCAGAGATCATTGGTGTATAAAAACAGCTCACATGAAACTGAAGCGAAACCCTCCCTTTGTTGAAAGCACGATGTCTGCAATTGGGGGCCCAGTTGCCAATATTTTAATTAGCAACACTACTATTTGCCTCCAACTGCAGCAACAGCTCCCACTGTTGTCTAAAAACAGAGAGCATTGTGAAATGCTCTTTCAAAAAAAGCATGGTATCTGTTGCTTTCTTCTTTTGTCTCGTGAATACGCTGCTCATACCAAGTTACAATGCACCCTCTCATTTTCCTGCTTTCTATTTTCTTTGTAAACAAGATGTTTTATGCAGTAGGCTCAAAATACTTTGAGAGCCACGTTACAGAATGCATGTACACTCAGGACTGATTTAGGTTTACTTAAAACAGTGTAGTTTTTAAATTAAAAAAGCATTACAGTATGATTTCATTTCAAGGAAGGACCACTTTGGAATAAGCTGTCAAGAGTAGAAGTTGCTACTTTATCCCTGCAAGACTTCACACAAAAATCAATTTCTCTTTGTTTACCTCACAGTATGTTGCTAAGCTTGCTGAAAATCTGCCAAAATTGCCTTCGTGAAGGTATCATTAATACAGTAACTATGTACTACACTTTTTTGGCAGACAGTTAATACAAAGGTGATAAAGAAAGCAAGGTAAGTGAAACCCAGATCTGAAGATGTTCAAAAAAAGTATTAAATCATCTTACTCCCCCCCCCCTAGAATTCCTTGAAATTGGAACTGGGAAGGAAAAGCCTCCTTTTTTTTTTTTTTTTAAACCTGTCCCAACAAAAACATTAACCTCACTCTGAAATTCAGAGGACCACCACTGTCAGCAGAATACTCTAAAGACTGACCAAGGTTAGAAAACAAATGTACAACAGCAAACAGTACTGCAGCTCCAGATGTTCATCAGGCCCTCATGAGCTCCATGGGAAAAAAATCTGCAGAGCTTGGTATATGTCTTCTGGAGATTTCAGGGAAATTGAAAATAACAGTAGATGGCCATAATTTGATTATACATTCCTCCATAGTTTTTTATAATTCTTATTATCGTAGAAGTAATTGGAAATGGTTGGACAAAATCAATTATTTTGTTCCCTTAAGGTCACAAATACTCTGCTCTACACTAATATGATTTAAAAAAAAAAGTATGATTATTGCCTGTATATGATCCAGATATTCTGTTTATTTGCTGAGACGTGATCTGAAAGTGATGGCCCAGTTGGGCCCAGAGAAATTTCTGTTGCAGTATGAAACATAATTAAAAAATCGGAAGATTCCAGCTGCAAGAACATTAACATTGCAGCCCTGTAGACATGTGTATCATTTATGGATAGATAGAAAACGAAGGCCCCTTTCTCTTACAAGAAAAACTGTTATAATTACAGTATACATTGTGATAGAATTGTAATTTCTGCTAATAAAAAGACAGATTTAATATAATTTTTGAAGACAAAATACTCACTTTGCTTTTCCTTACTAATGGCAAAATTGGTATTCAAACAAGCTATTGTGATTTCCTGCCTACATGGCTAATTCCTTTCCTTCCTTTTGTATCTTCTTTAGGGGCACACGGAACAGTCACATTTAAACCCATTTAATATTCTCTCATCTCTGCCTTCAGGAAATTTTATCTCTTTTTGGGTTATCAGGTGCCAATTCCTTCCTCAGAAACCCTCTGGAAGACAACTGAGTATTTTCAGACACCATGTGTGGTTACCTGTACCTTGCTGTTTTCATCTGGTGAAAAGTGTTGTCCCCAACAGAGCTTTCATATAATTAGAAGCATTCCAAATTTGAAAGGGCATTTAAATCTAAAAACTGCATTTTGAACAAAGCAGCAGCAGCTTCAAAACATCAGAAAAATCAAAAGCTGGTGGAGCTGGTCTCCCAATCTCCTGCCCTTCGAGCCACCTCACCTGAACAGAAGACGTAACAAGAGGAAAGATGCTGGAGGAAGGGGGATGATTCAAGCACTAGCATGTCCTATTAGACTTGCCCATTGAAATGCCTTTAGCCAGGTTCCCCCAAAAACGTGCAATAAACGGACAGCCACATAATCATTAAAAACATTACCATTAGAATGCATAAGCCTCATTTTTTTTTTTTAAGGAACCTGGTCACACAGTTATCCTCTGAATCTGAAACAAGACTCCAAATTTTATGAGGCTAACAAGCCATCAGTTGGCAACCAGATTAAAGATTCACAAATTGCCTTCAAGGTACAGTTATACTGCTAGTGTCAACGAAATGAGAGAGATGCCCAGCATAAAGAGAATTTGTGAATCACCATAGCTTATTTTAGAATTCAAGAAGGAAAATAACAATAGCATCACAAAGCATCCTTATATTCATATAAAATTGCATTCACATAGCAGGATATACTGGAGTGACTATTTTGATTAAATGTCATTCCCTTAGCTGACGAATTATATCAGTATGATCATCCATGTATAGATCAGACTTTAAACAGTAACTACTCCAAAGAGTCCCATGAGAGAGAAATGACTATTTTTGGTTCTGTGGCAATAGACTGCCTTTCAGAATAATGCTTAAATATCACACAGTATATTGTCATTTGTTTTATGTAAATAAAATCTTAATAAAAAGTGTAAAAGTTTAAATGACTAACATGGTGACTCATTTTCAGTATGACTTAACATTCCTCACATTTAAACAGCAACAGTGATTATATATGCACACATATAAACTACCCAGGATCTTTAAGAAAAGGGACATTGCAGTTTGTATATACATCAACTGATCTGTAACAGCAGCGTGGGTGTATTATTGACAAAGCTAATGATGCAGGTAACAGGTACTGTGAAGGTATGAAACTGTAAAAAGTTATATCAGTTGTTATTCTTTTCTACTCAGGTCAGTCCCTGCAAAAGACAGGATATTTTTCTAGTCATTTACCCACCTCCACATGATACTTTATTTGGCCCAAAGGACGGCTTGCACATCCCATGGCCCAAAGGCAAAACTGCCTTTCATCTTCAGTTTTTTAAAATGACATTTCCAAAAAAGACAAGAGGAAAAATGTAATAAAGAAATCAAAAAAGGCTGGTGTAAGGGAGGGAGATCTGCCTGCCCTCAGGTAACACGAGAGAGCTAGAACTGGCAGACCTTGGTGATGCAGGTCTTGAGAGAGAAAGAAGATATCCAGAAAACAAACTAAGGAAAAAACAAACAAAATAAACAACAACAAAAAAATCACACAAGAAAACAGATTGTCATGGAACATTTCCACGGATAGCAGCCTGCTCGTCAGTGAAAGGAGCGCAGCAAGTCTGGATAACAGGTCCATGGAGATCCTGAAGCCCCCAGGGACTTGGACTGGCTAAGAGAAAAAGTGCAAATGTTTAAAGTTACTTACATTATATTGATGATTAGCCACAGGTTTATAATTGGTGGTTACAGCTTTGTCTAGTTGCTGGGATAGCCTGACAGGTTTGGAAGATTCTTCTATCTGCAGCCTGCAGAACAGAAGAAAGGGAGAATTAATAGAAGCTCCAGACAAGCACACACACAGAATGAATGCTCAAAATCTGCAAGTCAATCCGGTCCTTATCAAAGGTTGGCTGAAAACAAATAATAAGGCAAAACAAATGCACTTCTATGAATTAATTTTCTTACTCTATTTCTGCTTGAAAGCACCATGGATTATTAGGCCACTGTGTGTTACAACAGATATTGAAATGCTGAAAGCTAAGCACTTGGAAGGGAAGAGAAAGCTTCACCAAAAAAAGCTTTTGAATACAAATTTTATACCCAAAGCCTCCCACTCAGGGGAAAGAGAAGCCCTTGCTCTTAAATAAAGCCCCAAACCAACCCAAACTAAAGAAAGATCTCCCAGATTACTCTATGAAGGGCTCAAAAAAGCTCTCATTTTGCCTCTACAGACCTTCAGGCAACAGTGAACATCAGACTTCACGACTGTTTCTCATATATTTAAATGCAAAACAAAATCCCTAATCTTTCTTTTGGCATTGTCATTCAGCAGTAGAGTCCAGGTTAACTGCTTGAAAAGCACTTAAAAAGAAAAAAAAAATGAATAAACAGGACTCCATCCAGGTTCAAAACTACATGCAATCAAGTCTCAAAAGAGTAGTGGCTAAAGGTGACCCTTAGTCCAACTCCTGGTCCAACAGTGAGAAGGTCTGTGGTTGAACAAACGCAACCACCTCACCCCTTTGTAATTTAAATATCACTTAACGATCAGACAGAATTCTCCACTTACTTCAGTTTTAGCACTGAAGAATTACTCTCTGAAATGAAAGCACAAGAACCCTGGCTTTAGAAAGCTGCAGGATAATGTCCCTTCAGAGAGGTCTTCATGACAGATCCTATCGATATTTAGATAAAGCTAAACTGTTTTCATCAAGGAAGGGATTTGGTTTCCAAAGCTATATTTTATAGGCAGAAGAATCAGTTTTCATGAGACGCACTGCAAGGTTTTTACAGAAATAAACGCAGTAATGTTTGGGATTCTTTGGAAAGAAAAATAAATATGATGACACTAATGGAAATAGTAATGAAATGTTTATTAATGTAAATAGAAATCAGGCAATACTTTAATAAAAAGGAGAGAAATGCTAGAGCTCACTGATCTCTTTTTATTTCAGCAAAAAACCTAAAGTATCCAAAAGCCTCTATTTAAATTCACTGCACTTGACACTTGAACAACCTAAATAAATCACATCTGAAATAAGTGTTAAATTCAGAAATAGATTCATTGGCCATAGCAACTGGAAATAAAACCAATCTCTCTGAGCTAGTATCTCTGAACAAGATTTCATTTATTTTCTTATACATAGGTAAGTATCTGCCTCCTGTTGAGTATTTGTAAAGTTCTGATTTGTTTTATAGTTTTAACTATGCTTAAACAACCCTGTATTCTAAATTTCTAAATCATGAGAAGGGATGTCAGTGCCTTCTTCTGTCCAAATGGAGCACGGTTTTTCCTAGCTTGACGGAAAATCGATCCCTGGGTAAATGAGCAGCGAGCTCTTTTTACCACTGCTCTAGTAAAGAACGGTAAAAGTTTTTTTATCTCAAGGGTTTCTCTTTTGGCCTTTCATCTAATTAAACAATTTTGCAGATTTTATTGATTTTGTTACTAAAAGCCTCCTGAATGCTTAAGTTTTGCAAAGAAGGAAGCACTGGACATTACAAGAAAGCTGAATCAGTATTTTCTTTCCAAATCTGTGTTTTCCCCGACTACTTCATTGTTTAATCTTGAATCAGTATTTTCTTTCCAAATCTGTTTTCCCAGACTACTTCATTGTTTAATCTTTTTTGTTCTCAAAGACATCTTTGAGTTTATTTATTTGTTTTTATAAAAGCCTCATCAAAAAGCTCGGGTTTATATTTTTTATCATCTCCTCTTGCAGTTCTTTCCCCTTTTTTCCTGCTGTTTAGCCCTGGGAGTTTTTGAGTCCTCCCTTTTCTCAATCGCATCAATCCTTCACCTCACTTCTTCCCCCTCACTGTTCTCCTCTCGGGCAGTAAAGCAGGAATAAGTTTCCTGCTAAACCCTTTGGCTGGTATTGCCCTTAGTCACAAAACAGGGGTTCCTGGGGAGGAATTAGGCATCCAAACCCACCCTGCTCTGAAAGCAAAGGAAAACTGGATGCAGGATCTGCTATGAGGCCACTGGAACCAGCTTCTCTGGAGCTGGGACCCTGCCTTTCGCTGCCCTTGCGGCAGTGGAGGACACAAGCTCTGCTGTTGTCCTAGTGAGCACCGGGACATCGTGGTCCTACCCGCACGGGTTAAGCTGTAAACCCCAGTTATTAATAAACCCTAGTCATTTATTTGTAAGGATTTGTTTTATTTAACACCTATTCATTGGTAACATCCGTGGAAGGCTTCACGTTTCTCTTCCGACATGAACTAACGAGGCCTAACGACTGCTCATCCCATGGAGAGTCGCCAAGGCCCGGACAGGCCTCGGTGCCTCGGCCAGGGCGGGATCACAGCCGGAACACGGAAAACACGGGCTGTTCTTGGAAGGAAGAGCTTTGTAGCTGCTACGAGAAACCCCTCCTTCATCTTAACAAACTAGAAATCTTTAACAGACACATAATTGGGAACTCTTAGCCTCGAGGCCTCAAGGCTTCTCTAGCCTTGAGACTCTGCCATGAAATTAGGACCACTGTACGTTAAAGGTCTCTCCCAGTTTTTAAAATTAAAATGCAGGAAACCTCACTGCCCATTTCAGTGCATTTTCCATAAATTAATCCCCCCCCCCTTTTTGCATAAAAGAACATCAGTATTTTTTTCTTAACATTTTTCACTCAGAAAGACTTGCTGTGCATGATACACACTCCAGTATCTCTTTTTTTTTTTTTTTTACTGCAACCTATAGCTGCTAATTCCCAAAGCAATAGCCAACAAAACATGTAGGAGAATTAACACTTTTACGAGAGATCTTCACAGGTTGATGGCAGCGAAGTTCCCCTGAACACAACACTAAAGCCAAGAAAAACTTCTTGCCTGTTAGGAAGCAGGAGGGAACCCAACTGCAGGGAAATGGAAATCTGAGCTTGCTTGTGAGAGGCAGAAAACTTCAGGAACATCTACAGAAACATCAGCTATACTAACAGATATATATCTAACAGAAATATCAGTGCAGGTATCTCTGATGGAGATAGACAAAGATGTCCGTGCTGTAATTTAGTATTTCTTCTCCCTGTGCCAAAGGTTTCCGAACTATGATCTACAGATCTCAGACAGCCTTTAGAAACGTTACTGCTCCTAACTGTTAAATTGCTGTAGAAAGAACTAAAAACACATTTTATCCCTGGTATTACTTCTTAATGGAAGCAATTACAGCAGCCGCCACATGACAACATGGGAATGGAAGCGGGAGGCGCAGGGGCTCGGGAGGCAAACCTTGCTATTGAAATGCATTTATTCCACACATGCACCGTGCTCCTCTTCTCCCTCACGGCTGCCTTTCTCATTTAAATTTTCCGACGTTTCCAGAGGCGCTGGCAGACCATGAGATTGCCTTCCTTCCGTGGGATTTCCTTGCTCCACAGCAGTCACGAGCCCGCGGTCGGAGCAGCCTCTACGCTCGGACTCCCAAGAATGACGGGAAAGGCCACGACAAATGCAGCACGTGGCCCAAATCAGCTATTTTTTTACTGGGTGGATAAACACCAAACATGTCCTTAGTGCATTACAGGGTAAAAAAGTATAGCCGGTGATCATTTTGCCCAGATTTGTTGGTACCAACACTTTCTGCACACCAAATATGCTGTGGAGTTTTTCAAAAGCCTGCCCTAATTCTCCTATATTCCAAAAGCAGCATGTTGGGGGAATATAAATGTCCTTTTAAACATGTACTGCTGTTGTTTAGAAAAGCTAACAAAATATACATTTACATATCCTAGCAGTTACACCCTCCAAAATTTCCAACAAAAGCCACGCACTTGGCATTATATCAGCCTGCCAGACTGACGCTTTAAAACGATACAGATATAATTACTTTAACAAGCAATATTCAGCCAAATTACTATGAAGCTTATACATAAAAATAAGGATTTTATACAGGTTTTTCTCAGAGCAGCTCTGTTGAATCTTAATTGAAACTGTTGGTAGGAATAAAAAAGAAATGAAAAAAATCAATAGACCTTCTGAGTCACTGCTGACACTGATTTAAAGGAGCAGTGGATTTTTACCCTATCGCTTTTTATTATGATTTTCACGAGTGTGACAGTCAAAAGCCTTAGTTATGGATCAGAACCATACAAAAGTCTCTGACGATTTAAATTCTCCATATGACTCTTGTTGAAACAGCTAACACTATAGTTCGTGCTAATATCTGGCCTGAAATATATTAACAGAATGTAGACTTTCTCCAAAACTGCCAATAAATTAACAACATGAAGCAGGCACCAGCTTGCACACTGTAGTTTTCTCCTCCACCCCCAAGATCAAATATAGCTCTTCTGCCTTGAAATACTGCAAATAACCAGCATGGCATCAAATCTACCACAGTTATTCCCCAGTAAAATACATCTTATATTGCAACCCTGATTTGTCATTATAACTACAGCTTAAAAAGGGGGAAAAAATCATTGAAGCAGGTTAGAAATAATTGTAGGGTACTTGTCAACACGTGGCAAACTCATAAGAGACAGAGGAAGGCAATATGTATACTCCTATGAAGAGATGCTCATTGGTTTTAAAGATACTAATTTTCCGGCAGCAAAAATTAAAACCGAAAGCTTGACACTAGCCAATTTCCTCTGATTAATCCACATGAGTTGCAAAGATTGGAAACAGGTATTAATCAGAAATGTTTATAGAGCTTCAATTTTTGACATTTTTGAAGACACTGTCATAAAGACACGATTGAAAAGCTTTACTACCTTGTTTTGTGCTTGGTTTTATTTACACAGGACACCAGTAGATAAGGACCCAGCCTTGTCGATGCAAATCAATGTCAATGTGCTTCTCTTTCAGT